CACCCCCCCCTCGTCCCCCCCCCCGCTTCCCCCCTTCCCACGTAGAGAAACAACAGCTCCTGGCCCTCTTCTGTCAAGAAAATGGGGAAAAATACTGTTACCTTCATCAGGAGCCGTACTTTCTACGGACCCCTCTCCGAACAACTCGACTTAGGAGGAGCATACAACTGAAGATCAGGAGTTAAGTAAGATGGAGATATAAGAAAAATGTACATTAAAATCAAAAGGGGGGGGTTAGACTCTGAGCGCTCTGTGGTTTTAACCCCCAGGTAAGCAGTGACGCGTGGCTGGTTTTAGTCACCGGGATACAGGGAAACTGTGACTTGCAGCTTAATCTCAGGTTGAGTGTTCAGCCTGGCAAGTTTAAGGGACATCGAACTGCGAGAGGCCACAGAGGTCGTTATGGCCTTTGGCATCAGCTAATTGCACGAAGCAAATCAGGCAGCGGAGAGTAGTCAGCGGCAAAGTAATTCAGGGACCTAGCGAGTATCTCAGGCAAAAGGCCCTCATCCCATCAGGATGCCAATGTGATATTCAGCTTCTTGCTGGTACCTGACAGCAGCCTGCTCTGCTCTACCAGAGATCGCAGCTGTATTAGAGTTAGGAAGTAGGAATTCACCCATTTCCACGGCTTTTTAAAGTCTCTTTTCAGTTCCACATGCCCCCCCACCCCACATATTCCTGCAAATGTGACTGAGCCCTGCAGTTCTGCATGTGGGAAACCTCACGGCCAGCCCCAGGGGAAGCAAACACAAACAGACTGACAGTCACTGCCATTTGTAAAGGGAATTTTCTCCCTCTTACAAGCGCAATGTCATGAGAACCTCTAGTTAATAACTGATGGAAAGGAGCTTCACTGGGGGGCATGGGCCATGTTTATATATCTCCAAGCCTTATGTCCTGCTTTCCTGTTGTCCTGGTAATAGTAAATACGAATTATTTATTGACTTTGTGTTTGCTTAGCCCTCATCAGCAGAGCCTCTGGCTTTTCTGTAATACCATTAAGGTTAAAAAAAGAAGTGGCTGATTTAATCTAGCAGACTAAACTAGACATGCTGAGGGTGCATGGCTGCTCAGGACCGTGGTCAGATGGCTTCTGAATGCTGACAAGGATGGAGACTCCACAACCTCTCCGGGCAACCTGCGCCAGCACTTGGTCACCCTCACAGTAAGACAGTGTTTTCTTGTATTCGGATTGAATTTCCTTTTTAATGTGTGCCCATTGCCTCTTGGCCTGGCAGTGGGCACCACTGAAGAGTCTGACTCCCTCTTCGTTACACCCCCCCTTTAGTTATTTAATCCCCTTGATGAGACCCCCCTGAGCCTCCTCTCCTCCAGGCTGAACAGCCCCAGCTCTCCCAGCCTCTCCTCGGATGAGAGACGCCTTCAGTACCTGAATTATCTTTGTGGCCCTTTGCTGGACTCTCTCCAGTAAGCCCATATCCTTCCTGTACTGGGAGCTCGGGGCTGGACCCAGCGCTCCAGATGGGGACTCGCCAGTGCTGAGCAGAGGAGAAGGGTCACCTCCCTCAACCTGCGGTGATGCTCCTCCTAATGCAGCCCAGGACACCGCTGGCCACCTTTGCTGCACGAGCACATTGCTGGTTTGTGGTCGAGGTGGTGTCCACCAGGACCCCCAGGCTCTGCAGAGCTGCTTCCCATCCGGCCAGCCCCTGCGTGTCCTGGTGCCGGGGGTTGTTCCTCCCCAGGGGCAGGACTTTGCACGTCCCCTTGTTGAACTGCACGAGGTCCCTCTCAGCCCGGCTGCTTCCCATCCGGCCAGCCCCTGCGTGTCCTGGTGCCGGGGGTTGTTCCTCCCCAGGGGCAGGACTTTGCACGTCCCCTTGTTGAACTGCACGAGGTCCCTCTCAGCCCGTTTCTGCAGCCTGTTGAGGTCCCTCTGGATGGCAGCACGACCCTTGGGTGTACCCGCCGTTCCTCCCAGCTTTGTAGCACTGGCAAACTGGCTGAGGGTGCGCTCCGTCCCATCGTCCAGGTCATTAATGAAGATGTTAAACTGGACTGGCCCCACTCCCAACCCCTGGGATGCACCGTTAGCGACAGCCCTCCGGGCCTGGCTGTTCAGCCAGTTTTCAACCCACCCCACTGCCCACTTATCTGACCCAGACTTGGTCACCTTGTTTATGAGGATGCTGTGAGAGACAGTGTCAAAAGACCAACTTGCCAAGTGCAATGGTAGTGGGTAGAAGGCGGCACTTAGGGAGGAGCCAGAGGTCCCTGGGGACAAGGGTGGGCTGGAGATACTTCCTAGAGCAGACACGTCTCTCGCGGAGTGGAAAGCTGAAGGTCCAGGTCCCTGCGGAGGCGGGTGCATGGGGCAGAGGGAGCATCTCGGTGCGTGGTGGTCCCATTGCTTAGGACGCGGGTGAGCCACGGGCGTGGGGCGGCCAGGGGCTGAGCAGAAACGGGGTCACCGCTGCTTCCAGTGGTCTCCTGTTCCACGGCAAGCGGACGGAGGCGGCTTCGTCTGACGCTGGTCTAGAGACACTCAGACAGCCTCCCACGGGGAGCAACCCACACGCCACACCCTGCCCGCACCCTTTAAACACCGGGGGGG